TGGTGTACAAGATCGTGCTCCAACCAACTGAGCCAGCGAGATGAGGTGTTTCTTAACTTTCTCTCCATGAGTGTGTCTCCGACCAGTATTTCTCTTCAAGAATTGAGTGAAGAAAATAAGATAATCATGGGTCCAAGGCAGTAGAAATCTCCTTCACATGAGAGAGAGAGAGAGAGAGAGAGAGAGAGAATACACACAGGACTTCTGGTCAAGATGGAGTCATAGGTAGACACACTTCACCTCCTCATGCAACCACAAGATGAATTACAACTAAATGTCAAAACAAATAATACCCAAAACTGTCAGAAAATTGAACTGCATGGAAGTCCAACAACCAAGGATTTAAACAAGCCACAGTCATCCAGATGGGTGCCTTTTAAGGGAATCAAAGCAGCTCTACCTAATACACAGAAACAAACACAGGGAGGCTACTGAATTGAGCAGACAAAGAAATACAGCCCAAATCAAAGAATAGAACAAAACCCCAGAAAAAGAACTAAATGAAACGTAGATAGGCAACCTATCAGATGCAGAGTTCAAAACACTGGTGATCAGGATCCTCAAAGTACTCATTGAGTACAGCATCAAGATAAGGGAAGAAATGAAGGTTACACTTAGTGAAATAAAGAAAAACCTACAGGGAACCAACAGTGGAGAGGATGAAGCTGAGAATCAAACCAATGATTTGGAACACAAGGAAGGAAAGAGCATTCAATCAGAACAGCAGGAAGAAAAAAGAATTTAAGAAAACAAGGATAGGCTTAAGAACCTCTGGGACAGCTTTAAATGTACCAACATCTGAATCACAGGGGTGCGAGAAGGAGAAGAAGAAGAGAATGAAATTGAAAACTTACTTGAAAAAATAATGAAATAAAACTTCCATAATTTGGTGAAGGAAACAGACATACAAGTCCAGGAAGCACAGAATCCCAAACAAGTTGGACCCAAAGAGGAACACATCAACACACATCATAATTAAAATGCCAAAGTTTAAAGATACAGAGAGAATCTTAAAAGCAGCAAGAGAAAAGCAGAGAGTTACCTACAAAGTTCTCATAAGACTGTCAGCTGATTTCTCAGAAGAAACTTTGCAAGCAAGAAGGGACTGGCTGGAAGTATTCAAAGTTATGAAAAGCAAGGACCTAAAACCTAGATTACTCTATCTAGCAAAGCTACCATTTAGAATGGAAGGACAAAGTGCTTCCCAGGCAAGGTACAGCTAAAGGAATTTATCATCACTAAGCCATTATTATATCAAATGTTAAAATGGCTTATTTAGGAAAAAGAAGATCAAAACTATGAACATTAAAAAGGCAACAAATTCACAACTATCAACAGCTAAATCTATAAACAAAAACAATGACCAAAAAAACTAAGCAAGTAACCAGAACAGGAACAGAATCATAGGTATGGAGATCATTTGAAGGGTTATCAGCTGGGAGGAGAAAGGGGGAGAATGGGGGAAAAGGTGCAGAAGTTAAAAAGTATAATTGGTAGGTACAAAACAAATGGGGAGGGAAGGGGGCCCTGGCTGGCGTGGCTCAGTGGTTTGAGCACTGGGTTGCGAACCAAAAGGTTGCTGGCTCAATTCCCAGTCAGGGTACATGCCTGGGTTGCAGGCCAGGTCCCCAGTAGGGGGCACACCAGAGGCAGCCACACATTGATGTTTCTCTCTTCTCTTTCTCCCTCCCTTCCCCTCTGTAGAAAAATAAATAAATAAATAAATAAAATCTTTTAAAAAAAAAAGAAAAACAGACAAGAGGATGTTAAGAACAGTATAAGAAATGGAGAAGCCGAAGAATTTATATGCATGACCCAGGAACATGAACTAAGGAGGGGGATTGCTGGAGGCAAGTGGGGTACAGGGTAGAAGGAGGCAAAGGGGGAAAAATTGGGACAACTATAATAGCGTAGTCAATAAAATATACTTTAAAAAAAGAAAAGAAAATAGACATAGGGCACATGGAATAGCGACTGAAACATAGAACCCTGATAAATGGCAGCTATGACTGTTTTTATCATGGTTGTCCTTGTCATCCCTGGGAGGTCCAAACGCTGCATGCAGGCTTGTAATGAGCTAAAGGCCACAAAACCCAAGTGAGGAGAGCCACATGCCTCACCTCCGGTTGGGATGAAGACTGTGTCCCCTCCTTGAGGACAGATCCTACAGTCAGGGATAAGGGGAGACAGACCACTCACTGAGGCAAGAACACAGTGGTCTTTGGCTCCCTGAGAAGGCCCCAAAGAGCTACACAGTAAAGAAAAATGAACCTGGAAACAGAGAGAGGCTTCCCAGAAGGAGTGTGGTGACTGAATTTCATGCGATAGAGCGCTGAGGCTCAGAGTTCAGAGTTCAGGATACCTCATAGCCATGGGCCCTCAGAGCCAGGGACTCCTCTTGGAGGAGAATCACTTTTGGAAAGATTCCTTGTGGAAACTTCTGACAAGGCTTCTACCTCAACCTGAGACACACCCACTCCCCTGCCCTGGTTGTTGACTCATTGCCAAGACCCCGATTCCCAACAAACAGACCAAGGAGGACATTCAGAGAAGCTAGGGCAAGGTAGCCCTGTTGTTCCCCAGAGCTACTCAGGAGTAGGACACTGCCCTGCAGTCCTCTCATCCTTTCTACTCTCTGGGCTTTGCCAGCCTGAGCTTGCCTCTAAGCTTCCTAGACTTTCATTCTGCTTGTGGTGTTCTCTTCTTTTCCCTCTTCTCCCTCTCCTAGGGATATTGCTCTATATACTCACAAGGTAACTGGGGAGCTAAATACTCACAAGCTTGGTCTCATCTTTGAATTAACATTGCAGTCATGTTTCACAGGCAGAACTGGTCAAATGCAGGGATGTCAGCGCAATCCATTGTTACGGGTGCTCCTTCCAGTCACCTGTCCTGGCCCCACGTAGTCCATCTCATGGAGATGTGAGCTGTTTGACAGGCAGCTGAAAATCTCCCATGCTGTGCCCAGAGAAACAGAATACTATCAGCAGCCACCTGCCTCCTGAAGCCAATGTTATACCTTCATTCAGCTTTTCTCTGGGTAAATTTTACTTCAAGGCTTCCACATCCCAGAGTGGCTCAGCCTTGGCACCCACAGAAAACAGTACCAGCAACAGTTCTTCTCATACCCCAACATAAGTATGTCATCAGAGCAGCGTAGCTTTCAGCTCCTCACTCACAGTTGACCCTGTTCTGCCACATAGCCTCAGCCCTCCACTGAGGGCCAGGAACGTAGGCTGGACAACCTCATACAGAATCCAAGCTGAGGTTTAGAAAATATGCACCTCATTTTCCCCAGTCACTCCTGGTCATTCGTAGTGGCCCTGACCTGTCCTGCAGCCGCCCAGCTCCTCCTGGGCCACCTTGTTTCCTGAGCAGCCTGCCTCTCACCACCAGGAGGCTGTATGCAGGATGAAGTCTGACCGTCATCCTGGGGGTGGCACTTGGAGTTCACAGACTGCCTCATGGTGCTTCTGTCCTTCAGTCCAGCAACCCAGACAGACTTTTGCGGCACTATCACCCACCCCTCCTAAGAAAACTGGTCTTTAGGTATCATCACTTATCTCCTGCCCCTCTTTTGAGCCACCTTCAAATTTCCCTATAAGGCTTCTCCTTACTTTCTCATCTGGCTACTAACACTCTAATGTTTCTTCTTGTTTCATAGAGATTTAGAACCAGGAGGCATTTAGAAATTATTACACTGAAACTCTTTGTGTTTATCATGCAGTCACTCACTATCAGTGCTCTCGCACGATGGAGCCAGAGAAACATGAACAGACCAGACTCCTGAACCACGAGTCTACCATCTAGTTGGGAAGATTGGATACTCACATAAGAATGAAATACCAAACAAGCTACCCAAATGAGTGGCACCAGGAGTTAATGCTGAAGGACGTTATGTTCTGAAGATATTAGCCTGAGGTCAAGTTGTACAGGAAGGCTTGTGCATATGATCAAGATGATATGATACAGTTGAGCTCTGAAGGCTAGATGCTCTTTGAGGGCAGGCTCTCAGGAAAGAGGAAAAGAAAAAAAAAAAAAGAAGTAAAGTTGAAGGGAGCAAAACATGTCCAGGAGACAAGAGGAATACCAGTCTATTAGAACAGAATTTGAATAGAATCCCAGGCCATAAGATAACTGTTAATAAACAGGAAAGCAGTATGACAGAGAGAGACAACATACCTCTGGAAGGAGACTTACCTCGTTTTCAGTCCTGGCCCTGCCACTTACTCAATCTGTGACTTTAACCTCTCTAAGCCTCAGATGCCTTTCCTGTAAAATGGGGATAATAACATGGAACACATAATATTGTTCTGTATATAAAATTATATATAAAGCACAATGCCTTGGCATACGATAAACACTTTTTTAATGCTAGCTATGAACTAGCACTGTGCCAAGCACATATTATGTTTATAAATGGTGCTTAGTACCATTGCTTTCCTTCTGCTGCTATTGTAGAGCCCTGTTTTCACATGAGCGTTAAGTAGTAGGGTGTGTATTATGTCTAGGGCCCTGTTTAATACCACCATACCATACTAGGCACTTTAACATTTCATCACATCACATTGAATATATAAAATATATATTCCTCATTCAATATCATTATTACAGAAATGTATCTGAAATTATTATTATTATTATTATTTAGAAAGAGGGGAAGAGAGGGAGAGAAACATCATGTGTGGTTGCCTCTCGCCCACCCCACGCTGGGGACCTGGCCCGCAAACCAGGCATGTGTCCTGACTGGGAATCGGATCAGCAACACTTTGGTTCACAAGCAGGCGCTCAATCCACTGAACCACACCAGCCACGGCTGAAATTATTTGTAATAAGCCTTCCTTCTGAAATGATTTGACAACAGGAACTTATGATTGACGCTGTTCCTTCTGCCATCGTGGTACTTGTGAATTCCTGTAAAATAAGCAAATCTAACCTAAGATTGTTCTACAAAGTAATAAACATCTTATGTGTGCCAAATTTCAAAAAAAAAAAATATCGTGCTCACTTCGGCAGCACATATACTAAAATTGGAGCAATACAGAGATTAGCATGGCCCTTGCGCAAGGATGACACGCAAATTCAAGGAGCATTCCACAAAAATAATTAAGTAAGTAAATAAATAAATAAATCTGCTTTATGTTACTGTGGTAGCTGGTAAGTAAATATGTTAAATTTGATTTTTCAGTTGTCTTTTCCAGTATTAGAGCCAAGATTTTTTTTTCCCGTCTCATATAGTACAGACTCGTGAAAATTTCCCTGACCCTAGGCACTGAGCCTGTACTGCTTAACGTATAAAGCACCCCTGAGACTGTGGCCATTGGGAAGACTTGTGATGGTGAGTGACTAGGATCAAAAAATATACAATCAGAGAAACCCCTTCCCCAGCTCCTTGAGTGGGGCTGGCCAGCTGCAGGGTCAGCACCTACCTGAGGGAAAGCTTGTTTACAACTTACTTGGATTCAGAGCTTGCGAAGTTTGTGGTCACTCACCTTGGTGGGCACCAAATGCTTCTGCCAGCCTCGGCTCCTGCTGCCATCCCCACCCCCGCCCTCCACGGCTTGGCTCTTCCACTGCTAATGAATAATCACTTGGTAATCCTTCCAGCCCAATGGGAGAGGCTCTGCTGAAGGCCTGAAAAAGAGAAATGACTTCCTGATGAAGTGTATTTGCTCCATGGGACCCAAGTCAGCTGCTTGCAGGATAATGTTCTCCTGAGCTCAAGAATCAACTATTAAGTTTGCAGGAGGCGCGCACGAAGGGCTCCCCACCATGGAAAGAGAGCGCTCTGCTGGTGAGCCAGGCTCCACCTTGGAAGCAGAGGGACAGACTTCTCAGAAGTTTCCCATCTGGCAATGCAGATCTTAGAAGCCTAAGTGATTTTCGCCACTTTGAGGAGCATTTTATTTCAAAGACAGTGAAGTCCCGCAAATCCCAGAGATGGAGATGCCAGGTTGTGTCTAACACTTTGACACAGACCTGAGAGGCTGTAGCCAAATCAAGTTCCCCACCTTAAGTCATTTGCTTCCTCTGGTCGCAATACCCACTTACTGTCAGTAATATATAAATATAATTTACTCAATAAGCTCAATAAATATGCACTCATTTAGTTCAAATAATACTTTTAAAAGTATTGAAAGTATATGAAACTGTGTGATACCTTATTTTAAGGAATGTGAGTGTCGTTTAATAAACAGAAGTAAAAATAAATATAATGAATGTTAGCCAATGTTTAAAAATTCATTTCAGAATTGTTTTCAGGTGAAAACTCAGCCTGATGTCTGTTGGTTCTATTGGAAAGTGGGGAGAAACAAAGAATTTGCCTTCTTGCTTTATTGGGAGACTTTCTCTTAAATGTTATCAGAAGGATTAAAAGATAATTATTGAAGGCAATTTTCATACACCACTTAAACCACAAACAGAGACATACTCATTACACTCTGCTTCCATGGAAAAAACTTTCTCCTTCCCCTTTCAGCCTGGCACTAGACCAAAGGGATGGACTGGAAGTAAGGAAGCTCATGGCCCCAGCTCTGCACTCATCTGGTCGTGCTGGAAGGGCACTTGCTCTTTCAGGACCTCCTGCTCCTTCATCTGTAAAATACAGAGTTGATTGAGATAATCTCTAAGGACTCTTCCAGCTCTCACCCTCTATCACCCCACAACTTTCTCCAAAAGGGCAAAATGTCAGCCATGGAAAGAACCCAACTCACCACGCCACTTTGCTGGCTGGAGCAGTGATTCCCTTGCTGGGAGTGACTGTTTATCCAGCTTCAGTGAGGACAGGAATTAACCCAACTCCACAACCTTAGTATTGACTCTTTTGGGAATGCCTGAGCTGGGCTGGGACAGTGAGGCATGGCCCTGTGGCCTAGTTTTCTTCCAAGATTAGTTTCCTTTTGTGTTCTGACTTCTCAGAGTTTCAAACAAAAAACACTGAGAAAGAATAGGGGCTTTGGAAGCCAAGAAGAAGCCTTGATTAAAATCCTGTATTTGACACACGCTACCTAAGTAATGATGGGCAAATTCCTTAACTTTTCTGAGTCTCAGTTTGCTCATATATTAAAAAAAGTAATCATACTCACCTCATAAAGTTCTTCTGAGAGATAAACAATGTACATATTTATTGAGAGCATAAAAAGGCACATGACCTCCTGAAATTGAACAGTAAAATGCCAACAGAGTCCTTAAATATTCGAAGCTGCACGAGTCCTGCAATGGTTGACTGAGGGTATGAAATTCTTAGAAGGGCTGGCAGAACCCCCATACCCCATGGTGACCTACTCACCCCCCTAACTCTCTGTGCCATTGTCTCACTTAGGAGGGATGACTCCAGCCAGAGCAGGATTCTGCCCTATGCTGCTGCCCCTGCTGCTGAGGCTGTGGGTGGCTGAAGTCCCAGTCAGCGCCAAGTCCAAACGCATGACCTCAGCTCAGTAGTTTGACACTCAGCACATGTGACCCATCCCCCAGGGATGCAAAAAGGCAATGAGCAACATCAACAAGCACACAAAACGCTGCAAAGGCCTCAGCACCTTCCTGCACGAATCCTTCTCCAGCGTGGCTGTCACCTGCCAGAACCCCATCACAATCTGCAAGAACAGTCATGAAAGCTGCCGCCAGAGCCAGAGGCATGTGTCCCTGACCCTGTGTGAGCTCTCCTTGGGGAGGTACCAAGACAGCAGGTACAAAAGGAAGCATCCTTTATGGTGGCTATGACCCTCCATAACAGAAGGATGGCACGAGGTACCTGCTGGTTCCTGTGCCCTTGGATAACATTATCTAAGGCCAGGTGCGTCCCTCACCCCAAGCTCTGCAGACTCCTGACGCTGCTGCTACATTTCCTCCCTTGACCTCTTTACTAATCCTTAGCCTCTTTGCAAATACCACTTCTCTCCCACATACCAACTGCACATACTCTTAATTCCAGAGGGGGATTTATGGGTGCCTGAAACTATGAGGGAAGGGAGGTGGTTCTCTTTAGCCCTTCGCTGCTGCTTATATTGCGTTCCGAGTGTGTGACACCATGTGGCCCTTCCAGCCCTAAGGGTCTCAGTCAGCAGGGTGGGTCCAGGTTGTGTGGGGTCTACGGCATATATAATTTTGGGGATTATCTTAAAAAAGAAAAATATAAAATTATAAACACAAACTAAGATCAGGGCCTTAGAAGGGCTGTGGTTAGACAGTTCAGAAAGATCCCAGGCAGGGGAGATTATCTAAGGAAGGAGGGCAGGAATATCTGCGAGGATTATGTGTCTGATTTTGCCTCGATAAAAGACTGCTCTTCCTGACTGAGGGTGTGTTACTGTCTGGGGCAAAGTATGGAGGTTGGGAAACCCCTTCTTATCTCTGTGAGGCTTCAGCTTCCCTTGTCTGGCAGACTGGAGAGAGGGCAGTACCGTGAGCAGGCTTGGGCTTGAAGGAGCAGCCTGGACTCCGCTATCCACCCCCTTGAGAACTGCACGGCGACCCCATCTCACAGGAAGGGGAGCAAGGAGAAGAAAAGCAGACTAAGCCCTGGGATGTCAGGCAGATTTGAGGCCTGGCCCCCTTGTTTGTCCTCAGCACCTGATCTCAGGCCTCACTGATACGATCTAGAGCAGGAACCTCAGATTCCTCAAGTGAATTTCTCTCCCTTGGGAATTTCAGAATCAAGGCCTTCCAAGAATCTTGATCTGGCCGTAATTAGTGCTTTTCTAACTAACTGTGGTATAGAAGCAGTTTTATAGGTGCATCTGCCTCAGACCAATAATTGCATAAAATACAATACAATAAAATAGAACATACAGATATAGAAAACCCAAGGTCAAATTTTATTTTATTCAATTAACATAAAATCACTCTATAAAATTAGCGTAAAGCTTCTCAATACTTTCTCTCAATTTCTATACTTACCTTGATATATACTCACACAGAGAAAAACATACACATATAATGCACACACATAAATACCATCATAAGACATGTGCATATACATACATGTGCCCAACACACAAACACACATGCACATAGTAAGGCAGCCCCTCTCCTTCCCTCTACTGACTCTGCCTCCTCCACACACCTCCCTTCCCATATTTAGAAAATTGTTCTAAACAGACTAGGGCTCAGAATAAGGATGATTGGTGAAATATGATATGGCAGAGAACACATAGAACCCAAAAATTCTGACCTCCAACCCCTTTCCTTACTTTCTAGAAAAAGAGATCTAAGTCAGAGTAAGCTCCTGCTACCCACCACATCCATACTATCCACCCCAAAGATAGCTCCCCACGCATCCAGGAGGCCTCTCCACACCACGCTCTGCCCACCAGCATCACTATCTCACCCACCCCTGTGATTCTGACCAAGGGAGACTGACTGGAAGTGAGAGACAAACAACATTCTTCTACCCTTCTGTTTTCACCCCGGTGCCGTGGGCAGGTTCCACTTCCTCTGTCTGCACCTTAAATGATGGTGTTTCTCAGGGTCCTATTCTTAGCTCACACCGCCCTCTCTTGAGTGACTTGGTACACTTCCATGGCCCAGCCCCGATCTCCCAAGTTCCAGGCACATATCTTCATCTATCTGCTGTTACCAGCCTCCTCAGTGTCCTGCAGGCTTCTTAAGAAAAACACTCTGATCTGAGTTCAGATCTGCCTGGCTTCCAAACTTGCCCCTGCTCCTGCAGCATCTCAGTCTTGGTTAGTGGATACATCATATCCCATCATTCAAGGTCCAAATCTAACAGACACTTGTGTCAACTCATTTTATTTGTTTCTCCAGTAATTCCCCATTTATCCCAAGTACTGCCTTAAGGGAGCACAGAAGTTCTAGAGTTTTCTTTTTTCCACATATCGCTCGATTCCTAAAATGTGCCCAACATATGTTATGGCTTTGGAGGGGGCTTTGATTTGGATCAGGCAAACATACCTAAGTTGTTGCAATCAAGAATTCACTCTCTAGCCCTGGCTGGTGTGGCTCAGTGGATTAGGTGCAAGTCTGCAAACCAAAAGGTTGCTGGTTCAATTCCCAGTCAGGGCATGTGCCTGGGCTGTAGGCCAGGTCGCTGACTGGGGGTGTGCAGGAAGCAACCAATCAAAGTATCTCTCGCAGATTGATGTTTCT